AATTTTGAATATACAAAATAAAATATAATATAATATAAGGTAAATACATATACATATATTTTAGAGAACTGCCCATTTATGTCTAAACCTGTTAGTATTCGTAGTAATTCAGGTCTCTTATCTGGAATGGTAAAGCCATGGAGTGAGACTGTAGTAAAATTTCCGAATCTGAATGAGAATGTGACCTATTCAAATTTCTGTTCATTTTTATATTTTTTAAATTAAATTAATCGAATAAAAACGTATCAAAGCAGACATCTAACATGACCTTGGGGCTATAAAAAAATAGAATAATATCAAATAAAGCTCCAAACATTTTTTTTTTTTTTTTGCTTCTCAACAAAATTAATAAAAAATGATTAATTAATTAATTTTTAAAATTTATTGCCAACTTTTTTCTCCATTTAATTCTCTCTCTCTCTCTCTCTCTCGTTCTCTCTTTCCTTTCTCTATTGTGCAGTTTGATCGCATTTGTACATCTTGCGTATTTTGAATAAATCGCCCTCAGTGGGGCCCACCGTCTGTCCCATCTCCCGCTCCGTGGGAACCCCATCGACCAGGGCGCGTATGGTGGGCTTACTGGGATCCGTGGCAAAGGCGTTTTTCGGATAGTGCATGACGCTCTCAAAGTCATAGGGCACATCGTATGTGGTCGTGGTGCTCGACGAGGTGGCCATGAACTGGGGCCAGTACTTGCGCGGAATGTTATCGTAATCGATAACAACATGATCGTCGCGATCGGGACGACTCTGCTCGTGGTAGAGCCCCAGCAGATGCAGTGTCTCGTGCTGTATAATGCCCGGTACGGCCATGCACTTCGGAGAGAGCAGGACATCGTGCGAGCCGGAACCGAAAACCGGAAGGGGATTGTAGCCAATGCGAGTGCCGCAGAGCCTATCCGATTTCTTATAGTAGACATAGCGACTGCCGGGAGGAGCCGGGCCCGTCAGCTCCTCGAACTGCAGGCAGCTCTGCTCGTTGAACGTGGCCAGGGCCGTGTGCACATTAGCCACCTCCTCCGGGCTGCAGTCGCTGGCGATGCGATAGTAGATCCTCGTGCTGGGCCACAGCTGCCGCGGCGATGACATGGCATTGCGGGTCTTCACCTCGGCCAGCTCATCGTCCACGTCGATCTCATTATAATAGTTCTCAAAGTACTCCGTCCCCCATGCACCGACTCCTGCCAGCAGGCCAAGCAATAGAAACTGAAACATTTTGCTCGATTGCAGTGGAATCGGCTTTGGGTCTTATATAGGCGCGAATCAAAATGCATTGCTGATGTTTCATTAAAATATAATTTATCAGTTTTGTGTTTTGTGTTTTTGCATTGAGTGCAAGTGTGTAAACTAGCGATTCACATGCATAGATAAACATGGAGACACACTCATACATACATATGTATATGTTTACGTGTATATTTATATTTAGACAGTTAACAACTTAGTTTAAGAAACACATTGAACTTAGGCAACTATAGTTAATCCCCTCTCTCTCTCTGTCTGTCTCTCCCTCTCTTGGTAAGCCTAGTGTCTCTCCCCCCTCCGCATCGGTGCCGAAATTCGAAATTACTCGCTTGCTGCGACTTACTTAGCTAGGCTATGTTATACTACAATTTGCATAATTTAACATAGATATAATATTTATATAGTGCGCATGCACACGCACACGCACACACACACATACGCACAGATTGTAGGTAAATCTACGTAAATCGTTTTCGTATGCATGACAATATAATTCAATCATGTTGGCCCTACACTGCCGTCCAGCAAAAGTGTCGCGCTGTATCAGTTCTACTAAATTATACCTGAGACACCAACTGAAATTTCAAGTCTCTCTCTAACATTTTTAAAGCAATTCAGATTTGGTGAATTTTATAAAAATTATTTGCAGTAGAAAAATAGTTAATTTTTGTATTTTATTATTTTTTATTACTAGAAAACTCAAATTTCCTCATAACAATACTTTTAAAATTTGACAATAGTTCAAAATTTAAATGAAATTTCGACTATAAATTACACCTAGATTTCATTAGTATTTCAAAATTTAAGAAAACGAAATTGATTTAAAATTTTCATAATTTTCACATATTGAAAAGCAAAAGAAAATGAATAAAATAAAATGAAAATGCGTTTAATAATTGTGCTAGCATTACTCAAGTCAAAAGACTAAAGAACCGAAAAAACATTCCCTAAACTTCTGCCACTAGGATTCCATTCAAGCGCAGTTGGACAACTTTTTTCGCCACCAGTGTACAACGGCTCCGAGCAGGCTGCTTCAGGCAGGTGCACATTGTTTGACGCGCCCAAATACATAATAATAATACAATGGCAATTGCCGGTGCTCTAGACGCATTAACACAACAAAAGGCCATCAACAACTTATTTTGCGTGTTTTCTGTTTTGATAATATTAACACTTTACAGTGCGCCTAATATGTATATGTATAGGTATGGGTATGTAAATGTTTATCGTATAGCTGTATGCATATTCCTATCGTATATATGTGTGTTATGACAATTAGCTCAATGGCTTAAGCCGTGTACCGTTATCGCATAGTCATTGAGTGCACAGAAAGAAAACAATGGAAATACAAAAAGGAATCGTTTAATTATCGCAATTGTTCCAAACTCTGTTCTCGTTTAGTTTATCATTTATTGCTCTGGCAAACGGATCAGTCGGGATTGTGGGGGGGGAGGACATAATAATCATAAAACACACGACAAAGGGCGTGGTCGCGGCAACTATGAGGACTTTGCTGCAGCCCAAAGGAGGCGTGCAATTGTGTTAGCTGCCCGACAATCATGATCATTATCATTATCATTATTATTAATATTATTATTAGGATTATCATTATTATTATCATAGTTCATACATATAAAAGAAATTAGCAAGAACACAATAAAAAACACATTTTGCAAGCAAAATAATAAACAGCGAATTTAAGTTGTCGTTTTGTTTCAATTTTTTTGGTTTTTTTTTTTTTTTTTTTTTTTTTTTTTTTTTTTTTGTCATCGTTGTTGGTTTCTTTTGTTTTTGTTTGTTATTTGACAGTGTGTCATCATCGTCAATCGTTAATCGTCATCGTTGTCAATCCGGATCCTGCACCAGGATTGGTCACTTCGCTTGCTTGCAAACATCACAAATCAGTTCCTAGTCATTAGTAACGCTCTCCCATTCAGCTCTATATTTAAATGTAATAGTAGTAGTAATAGGTAGTTGCTATATTATGTCTATCCACGTGGCATGGCTACGATGGCTGGCGGGCGGGCGGTCGGTCGGTCGATCGGGAGGTCTGCCTGTCTGTCTGTCTGCCTGTTCGTCTGTAAATGAATCAACGAGTCTCAGCCTAATTGTAGCTCTCTCGCAGCTGCCTTCCAGCGCCTAATGCAACTCGATGAACTGATACAGCGCTCGCGGCACAGCGCCCTCATACTGGAGGCTATGCTGCTTGATGGTGCGCGCTGCCAGACACGCCAGCGTTGTATACTTCATGGGATCGACGATCTTGTGCAGAGGTGTGGGCGCCAGCAGGCTCTCGAACGTCTCGCCAGCATCGTTCTTTGTGTCCTGTTTTGTACAGAGGGCGGCATTTGATTAGATTAGACAATACTTCAATTGTGCGCTCTCTCAATTCATATTTACCAGATGTGCGCCACCCTGGAGCAAGGTCTGTGCCAATGGCTCGATATAGGGCTGGAGTGTGGCGGCTAGATGGAGCGGCGTATTGCCCGACTCATCCACGGCATTCGGATCGGCGCCCACCTCGAGCAGCGCCTTGGCCAGCGACACGGATGGGAACTGGCAGGAGGGATACCGGCCGACGAGTGTGCCCTCGCGATAGCAGGCGTAGTGCAGGGCGGTGCGGCCAAAGCGCACGTGCACATTGAGACGGTTGAGGCGGTACAAGGCGTTCATCACCTGGCGCCGCATCTCCGGACAGAAGCTGTCCGAGTCGAGCAGCGAACTGAGCAGGCAACCAATGTGCAGGGCACTGACCAGAGTGCGACTTAGTGCATTGGGATCGTGATTGCAGTCGTGTTGGTGCGCCGATAACAACGTGGTCGATGATGACGCTGATGTTGAGCTGGCGGCTGATGATGATGATGATGATGATGAGGAGGAGGAGCTGGAGGACGATGATGATGTCGATGATGAGGATGGCGATTGAGTTAGCTGCTTGTTGCCGCAGGGCAGCAGCTGCTGATGTTGATGCTGCTCCAATGTAAATGCCTGACCACGCTCCACCTCCAGCACAGCCTTGTGAAAGATGGTCAGCATGCCATCGGCCTCAATGGGCGGCACGATCCGTCCGCGCGGCAACAGGCGCCCCGCCTCCACCAGCATAAAGCTGAACAGCTCGGCAAAGGAAAGTAACGAGGATTGGGTCATGGGGCTCAGTGGCTGCAAGATTTTCTGTTGCATAGTCAAAGCATATGACCAGAGTTCAATGCAGCGATCGAAGCGGCCAGCGTCTGCGTAGTGTGCGCCCCTGCAGGACCAATGCGATTCGATTATCAACCATGTTAGCCACATTAGCCACAACTTACCTGAAGCGAATGTAGTAGCTGGTGTCCGGATGCGTCGGTCCTAGAATGCGCTGTCTGATGACCAGCGCCTGCATGCGCATCTCATCCGGATCGAGAACCAGCTCCTCCAACTCCTCGATGGTGGTCACTTCGGTGACCATCTCGTATGCCGGCACCGGTTCCTGCACCTTTTTATGCAGCTGCGGCTCCTGTGCTCGCTCCTCGAGCGCTCGCCGCCACAGCGACAGCGCGACGGCCATATCACGTTTCTTGTCCACATATGTCGCACCCAGCAGTTCCAGTGCATCTATTCTCGCCATTCGACTCACGCACGGCAGCGTTATGAGGTGCTCCACAATGGGCATGTGTCCAGTCACACTGGCGGCCAGCAGTGGCGTCATGCCATAGTAGTCCACGTCCATCGTGGCGCCATGCTTCAGCAGCAGCTGCAGTATTTGCAGCGAGCCCGACTCCGCGCAGTCGTGCAACGCCGTATTGCCCTTGATGCTGCAGCGATTCACGTCCGCATTCAGCGAGAGCAGATACTGGGCGATGCGATAGTGTCCCTTGTAGCAGGCAATCATTAGACAGGTGTGCCCATGCCGGTTGGCCACCTCAAAGTCTGCAAGCAACAAGCGTATCTCAATCATCGATTTGGATTAACAGAGAATACTCAACACGTCTACTCACCTGCGCCGTGATGTACCAAGTATTTGACAATTTCGTAATGTCCGTCGAAGCAGGCGGCACGCAGCGGGGTCGAGTTCGTTCGCGTCGTACTGTTCACGTTGGCAAAGCGACGCACCAGCATCTTGACAATGCCCAGATGACCCGCTGCTGCGGCACACCACAATGGCGGCGCATCCTCAATGGGCTCGCCGTCAAAGCTCACGGAGCCCACCTGTTCCACATCGGCGCGACACTTTGTCAATAAATATTCTACAATGTCGTAGTGTCCATTGCGACAGGAGATGACCAGCGGTGTGGCTCCATTCACTTTAGCCGATATCAAAGCCGAAATTTCAGCAGGGCTCTTGTTGTACAGCACATTCTAAAAATAAAAAAATTAATTAATAATTAATATCAGCCATATGCATATATAGGTAATTTCATGTACAATATTAAAATATAAGCATAGGCACAACAAAAAAACATGTACTTAAAAAACTTATAAAAGAAATTCATTTAGTATGCAAGCCAATGTATACATGTTGCAGCAACTTGGGCTGCACATAATGTTGCTGCAACATGTGACAATTCAAACATCTCCAAACTTGCGTTCAAACCAGAATGTTGCTGCAACATGAGTTCCACACAAATGTTGCTGCAGACGAAATTCCCTCAACTAACTTGTTGCCGCAACATGATCCACACGCAATGCTGGCGCAACACGTTCCAACAAAATATATTGCATATAAAACATTTATACTTTGCTCAAAGAATTTTTCGAAGTACCATGACGAATTTATTGTCGAAACAAAACGAATCTATATATTATATGTACATATATACCTAACTTATTTCTTTTTGTGTTGTGTTTCGCAAATGTATACATATTTATTTCACTAACTACGCAAAAAGTCTTAAAATGAAAAAAAAAAAAAAAAAAAAGAACAACAACAATAAGTAATGTGTTAATAAGATTAGAAAGTGTTTGCAAATTACTGTGCAAAATTGATGTATTAATAATATTTTTGAAACATATATGGGCTGCAGCTACAAAATAATGTAATAAGCCTGAAAAGCTAATTGTCTGAGCATAATCAAACAATTTCACGTATTGTATATTATGATCAAATGGAAATTCCTTAAACTACTATTTTTGAGTACATTTTACAATCGTTTATAGCGGCACGACCGATTGACTATTTTAATAGAAATGAAAAAAAAATGTACTATAATTTATATAACTTTATTTTGAATTATAAAATAAACAGCACGTTTTAATAGTTGAACAAAAAAAAAAAAAAAAACAGCTTTTGTTTTTAGAAGTTCCTTCATGCAGTATATATATACATATATACATATATGTATCTCCCTCTGTCTCTATCCCTCCGTCTCTATCCCTTTGTCTCTATCCCTCTGTCATCATCTTTCTATCTATACATAAGTATGTGTATATCTCTGTTGTCTCCCTCTTTCTCTCAATTGTTGCCGCTATCTCCCTCTCTATTTTCCTCCCTATCTCTATCTCTCTCTATCCCTATCTCTATCTCTATCTTTCTCTCCCTATCTCTATCTCTCTCTTTCCCTATCTCTATCTCTCTCTCCCTCTGTCCATCATTCTCCCTGCCGCTCTCTCTCTCTCTATCTCTCCGTCTCTCTATCTATTTTCGTCCCTCTATCTCTTTCCAACTGTCTATATATATATCAGTCTTTCTATCTCTCGCTTTCTATCTATCTACCTATCTCTATTTTTTCTTTCCTTCCATCGTTCTCTCTTTATCCACTTCATTTTATAGCTTTTCTCTTGACCTTTAGGGCATCAAATCGTCGTTAATCGTTTGCTACCTGTTCACTTCAAGTTTATTTGCATTGTTTTTTTAATATCATATTTTTTATTTATTTTTATTTTTATTTTTTTTTGTGCATGCCAATTTTAAATTGAATTTCATTGATGTCAAACGTGTTTTATTTTTGCTGTATGCTAATTATGCTATGGGTGGAGACACCTGTGGACTGTGATACGATGCGATGCGTGTGTTAGCTCGACGCACGTGTCGAGCAGTTATTATAATGTGAACAGGTGAGCAAATGAGCAATGGGTACCCGGTAAACAGATACATAAATAATTGATATAAATGTCATTCTTAATTGGTGCTGACTGTAGTTAGAGCATTGTCGATCTACTATTTGATGAAAATCATATGATAATGATTTTAGCAAAATGTCAACGGAATTCCGTTTGTAATGTGATACAGTACAAATATTAATAAAATAAAAATACAAAATACAAAATTATGAATTAATATTAGAAAAACTTGTTTGACTGGCTAATAAATCAGCATAAAGTATGGCGAGTTAAGCTCTCTTCTATTTATAATGCATAGCAAAACGAAAAATAATTAAAAATTTTTTATGCATATATTATACACACAATACATGCACATATACTTTGTCAATAAATTTGAATGAATATTGTACAAAACATTTGCAAGCATCCAAAGTTAAGGCAGAGACAGTCTGGCTCAGTTCTGATTCGCCGATTCGACGTCTATTGAACCAGTTGAGGTGTCATTTTAGCAGCTGACGTTGAGCTTCAATGATAATTAAATATTGATAGGGAAATAATACAATATATAAATTTGCACGTTCGCACAAAGCGGGGTCAACATGATTTCACTGGGCATCCAGTTTACTAGAAGTTTTTCCATTTTCAATGCAATCTTTGCTTGCAACAGCATCTGACGCATGATTCTGAGATGCATATTAGAGTCAATAGGCGAGTATCGGGTGTGCCCGATTAGCTAATACTCTGTATACATATGTATATACACACAGTCTCACACATATACAGAAGCACGCGCTTCGCTAACTGCGCAGCTTTTGAACTTGTACTTTCCACAGCTGCCAGCTAGAAGAGAATTATTTCCAGATGTGTGATGTGAAATTTCTCTAATATTTTCAGTACATAATGGATAAATATATAAATATGTAATCATATGTAAATATATAAATAAACATTAATATTCATGAACTCCTTATGGGACTGTGAAATTAAAAATATTTCAGAAATTTAATGAAATGGTATATAAAATAATGCAAAATATTCTATAAGCTATAACTCCAATAGCTGTCAAGATCGATGCAATTATTGTATAAACAAGCATATAGTCAGTCACTCAGATCCAGCATATATATAATTTATTTGCTCAGCCACGCCTTCTCTCGCCTGTCGCATGCCTATGCACGAAAATATCATACCCCTTGTACACCATTTCAATGGACTCAGATTTATACGCCCTGACTAGTCTGTTCTCAAGCGAACATTCCCACAGCAGTCGTGTCTGACATTTCTGTTTTCGATCTTTGGCTATCAAACATTTGTTTACTTCCTCCATTGAAAAAAGTCGCACACGCATCAAGCACTTCAATGATAGGAAATAAAATGATTAGAGAAAACCTTGAAACGGGCACCAGAGCTCTTACGTATTGTAGTGAAATATACAGAACTTGGCAACTTGACTTATCAATCTCAATTAGAGCATTCGTCAAACGAAAAACCCCCAAGACGAAAAAAAAAAACAACAACAACAACAACGTCTCCGACAGTTGCCTAGAACCAGAAATACAAATAAAAATACAAACAAAAAATAAAAACCCATAAACAGAAAAGAAAAGAAAGAGCTGATAGCATTGGTATTTGAAGATCAAATACGCTAGCAGGCGAATAGATAAATGTATTAAAAATAGATAACATTTTTACTGATAACATTACTTTATGACAGGCTGGGAGTATCAGAGATAATACCCCAATAATACATCAACTTGATAATCATAATTTATGACGCATGATTTTGATTTTTTTTTTTTTTTTTTTTTCAGAAAAAACTAATAAGCCTGCTCTTCCCATACTTTTGATTTCCCCAATCGAATTCTTGATTTCGCATTGACTTTATTTATGGTAAACTAACAAACTATTCGATGCAGATAATTTAGATTATTTTAAATGGAGACTTGATGGTTTAATATTTTCTGAAAACTGACTGATAAACTGTTAATACAATAAATATTGAAATATTTTAAGCTAAAACAAAATTTTACTCTGCATATTAACTTCCATGAAATACAAATTTTGTCAAAAAATTAATATACTCTCTGCAAGGGCATGAAGATATTAGCATGCAGAGATTTATGAGCGCTGTAATCGACTAGAAAATACCCTGAATCTAGGTGCTGCATTATAGACATACCATAATATTTCAGTTTTATACTCAAATTTAATGCAAATATTTTAAAATTTTAATAAAATTTAATAAGAGAAAAATTTAAATAGAAGAAATGGAGAGGGAATATGTAGAGTAACATTATTCAACTGATGATATTTATATAGACATAGTATTACTTAGTATATTTTTTTTGCTCATATTATTATTTGCCTGTCACATACGTTGCCATAAAAGCATTCTAGTCCGATTGGTCATTGGCATTGACTGCAGGGTATACAAAATCAACAGAAAACAAAAGCCACTGGGAGGGGAGCACTCAATCAAAAGACCTTGTGAATGCCGTGCGGCATTTTATTTAATTTTATTTTATTTATTTATTTATTCTTTTCGTTTGCTGTTTTTGTCAACGGCTAGCTATAATTCTCTTGACTGCTACTGCTGCTGCTGGGAGAGTCAATCGTATTCTTTTTTTTTTTTTTTTTCTTGTGTGCTCTTCTACAGAGTATAAGAATATCTTTGCTTCCTGAATTCGACAAAGACGCAGACTGGCAGACAAACATTTCTTTCTTTGTGATTCTTCTGCGTCATTTAATGGCCGCATATGTCTGCTTGTATCATTCGCACCCTCCCTCTCTCTCTCGCTCTATCTCTCTCTCTTTCTCTCTCTCTCTCTCTCCCTCTCTCTCTTTCTGCTGGCCCAACCTTTCGCGAAGCTCGTGCGCGTGACGGGCACATTTTGGCAACATTTAGCAGGCAAACGCGTCTAGAAATTGTTGTGAAATTTTGCGTTTCAATAAAAACAACAACAGCCAGACAAGAATATATAATATGAATGTTACTTACATATATAAATAAGCTCAAATAAAATGCAAATAAATATAAACAAAAAATTACGCATTCATATTTCAATTATATATCGAGAGCAATGCCTTTGCTTTACAGCATTGAATGTTTATAGCATCGCCATTGAGATCGCCAATCTTCGAATCTCCCCAGCCCCAAGCTCCCAATATCATGCCCCAACGACTTGGAATTGAGCATATTGGGCTACTGAACTTTTCGCTTTCAACGGAAGCCTCAAACAAACAAGCAACAACAACAACAGCAACAACAATTTGATGACGCGTCCAACGGCAGCTGTTTGCTTTTCCGCATTTATACA